GGCTAATATGAAACATGTTAGTTTTTGGAATGTAAACAAGCTCCTATTGATCACATTCACATGTTCTGATGACATTGTTGGTGATTGGAAAGAATGTTTTGGAAACAGTTGCCCCCAAAAAGCTCAAGTCCCTTAATAAAGACTTCCATGATACCAAAAGACCAAGCGATAGGTAATGTGGATTGCAAACTCCTATCTCTTACCTAAGTTCCTCAAGTGGTGACAAAGCTTTAATGGAAAAAAGCAAAGGTCTAAATGTTTTTCTTGAAATATTTCAATCTGATGCCCACTTAAATGAAAAACCAGTTGAATTGACTCGTCTGATATCACAGGTGGTGAAAAAGAAGATTTCTTTTGAGATTTAAGTGAAGCAAGAAGATTATCCCAATCAGGTGGATCCCTTTTGAGAAGAGGTTGTTTTTATTTTTGGATTTTTTTAGTGGCCTTGAATTGTTCCCTTTTCCCAATTGTTTTTCCTCTTTTCCTTTTTTAACTTAGCAATTCATTGGTTTTCGGGCAATCAACAGTGACAAACTATTGGCAATGATCCTAGTAGATAGAGATTATTACCAATCTATTGGGGAAGTGTAATATTGTTTCCAAAATTTGACTTATAGTACTTTTATATGAGGACGAGTTAGTCATATTGTGAAAGTCTGTAAAATATTGTAGATTTACTTCAATTTTTCAATAAAAACAAGCCATTATGGCATGATTGCGGGTTTAAAAAATATATATATATATATATATATTATTAATTCAAATTAAGATCTTTTTCTTTTATTATTTTAATTAAACAAAGTTCAAGATCATGATCTTTTTTTATTTTAATTAAACAATAAGATTAAATAATTTTTTATAATGCTAAACTTCAATTTTTTAATTATAATTAAGAATATATTTTTCTAAAGTTATAAAAAATTATTATAATTAATAAGAATTTTTATTATTATCTGAATTCTTATATCATTTTAAGATAAAAAAATTGTTAAAAATTTGATTTTTTTAAATAATAAAAAATAATCTTTAATACAAATATTTTAATTAAACATGAATACAAAAAGATATTATATTAAAACAATATAATTTAGTTTTTACTGATTATATAAAAATTTGTAATCTATTATAAGCTATCTATTTATAGTAAATAAATATAAAATTACTATTTAAAGAAGATTAAAATTAGATATATTTTTAAAAGTAAAGATTTTAATAAATAATAAATCTTTTTAAATAGTATAAAAAAAAAAATAAAGATCAATAATAAATGAGTTTTTTAAATAATTAAAAGAATAAAGGATATTTCAATAGAATATTTCTTATTAAAAAAGATTTTAAGAAATAAATTTTTGTTTTTTTTTATTATCTCTTCTATTATACTAGAGTATTTTTGATATACTTCTTTTTTTTTTTTTTAATTTAATCCTTAATAGTTTCTTATATTATAATGACTTAATAGAATAAACAATAGAAATAACTTATTTATAATAATATATGGATTAGAAGAATATTTATTCAAAGTTATTATAAAACAAAATATTGTTCTCTTATATTTATAATGAATTAATTAATAAATTAAATTTATATAAATAGTTTTTTAATATTTTATCAGTAAAAATATAAAGTTAATTATATTGAATTTTTTTAACTTGTTTTTTTTTTAAAAAACTTTTTAAATAAAAATATATATTTTTAATTATAATCTTAGTATATAATTTAATTTATTATTTAAATAATTCTTAAAATCGTATATAAAATTTTTAAGCTATAAAAACTTTTGGATTTTTTTTTTATTTTTTTTACCATCACTATATATTATCTAATAATTGGCTTATGTAATATTAGGCAATCTACTTTAGGAACAAAACAATATACCATAATGGTAAGTCAAGAGCTAACCTATTAACGTAACTTCAAAATGAACAAGAATACAGTATATGATCTCAATTGGCATTGAAATAACCGCAGTATAGACCAACCATTTGTTATCATCTAACACCTCTTTATTACAATCTTTTTTTATTAGCTATAATTGTTAGTAAATATTTTGATATAATAAAATCTAAACAATCTTCAAAAAACATTATTTCGCCGCGTCTTTTTTCAACTGATCCTCGAAATCGGGGAACAGTCGAATAATTAGAAAAAGAATTACCATTTGAATATAAATAAGCCATTTATGACGGGCTTTAAAGAGTGGTGATTTTGAAATTGTCCAATAAAAGTAAATTTATACAAAACAATAAGAAATATTCGTGAATGAACCTAGCATATACACAATGCGTGCGGAAAGAATTGAAGTTTAAATTGATATCATATCCAACGATTTTCATTTAACATGCATGAAGTTAAACCAATCGATCAACGATATAAGGGATTATTCCTCAAAGACGCAATCCAATAGTTTGGATAAATTTACAAGAAATAATCAGGAGTTCTGCGAGTCACGTGTGGTTCGCCCCTTCTTGGCGCAGGATCAAATTGTAGGCTGCAATTGATTAAAAAAAAATAAATTCGAATCATAAATGCCTCATTAAAGAATCAGTATGAAAAAATTTAATCAACTCACAATGTATACTTCAAATGTTCGTCTATTTCCATGATAGCAGCTTGATTGCCACAACGATAACAGTAGTTTGGAGCGCTGAAAATTGTGACGACATTTCTATCTTGCGACCAGTTGTATCCCTAAAACATTAAATATGTGTTATCAAAAAAAAAGATCCACAGCTCGGCAAATAACTGACTTGCATATATGCGTACCTCCATAACTAATTGATGAGCTCTAGCAATTAATGTTAGTCCATTATTATGGTTGAATGCTTCCGATATATCTTGCCCAAAGGTATAACCAGCACCTCTAGGTGAAATTCCCCAGCCACATCGATCATCTGGGTCCGACCATAATAAATCGCACATTGGACCTTCATGGGGAACTTCCTGGATTCTATCCAAAGCTCGAATGTGGTCTAACGTGTCAATTGATGGTGACAGGCCTCCATGAAGACAGAAAATCTAGAAATATAACGTCAAATATAATCTTGAATTATTTGGATATGAAATTTGTATAACTTTAGCTATACTAACCTGTTCATCAATCAATGCCGTTAAAGGTAGGTAGTCAAACAGGTCGGTGAAAAACTTCCAAACATTTGCGTTACCATACTTTCTTAGGCACTCATCATAAAAACCATAAACTTGAGTGATCTGCCGAGATTCGTGATTCCCTCGGAGAATTGTGACACGATCTCTATATCGAACTTTAAGGGCGACAAGCAGAGTGACAGTTTCAACGGAATAATAACCACGGTCAACATAATCCCCCATAAATAAATAATTGGTATCAGGTGAATTTCCGCCGATACGAAAAAGTTCCATCAGATCGTGGAATTGACCATGAATGTCTCCGCAAACTGTCACAGGGCATCTAACAGGTTGTACGTTGGATTCATTTGTAAGAATTTCACGAGCCTACGCGATGGTTATTGATATTGGTAAAAAAAAAAAAAAAAAAAAAAGAACGAAATTTTAAATTTTAGTGCATCTCTTAAAAGTAGCCAACGAAAAAAGATCCAGGCATTCGTCATTGTTTCACGAATTACACACAAAAATATATATTTATATATAAAACGCAATTTGAACGAAACTTTTAGAAGTAGGGCAAGTGTGATGTTAAAATTAAATTACTAGCATTTATTTGTTCTACACGTCTAAATACCTTGTCGCACAATCTTTTAACGTCAGCTTCTGGAAGCTGTTTGCATTGCATGAGATGCTGAATCCAGCCATCTACGTCAGAGAAATCGGCGGAAGTTGCCATTATTATACGTTAATAACTAGGACGTTAGTTGGTTTTTGCTAAGGGCAAATATAGACTCTTAAAAGCTTGATGCAGTGAAAGACCAGCTGCCTCTATAAAGGAGTTGAGAACAAGCCTTCAAGTGTTACTTTGTTATAATGAATTTTGATTTGCCCAATTTTATTAGTCAAACTGGTGAAACGCTACTCGCAAACTATTACGGATGGAATTGTAACACACTACTATAGACATTACTTAGTAATGTCTACTGTTTTTACAACCGAGGAGAATACTTATTCCTATTGTGAATTTACTGTTTAGTAAGTGCGAACAATTATTTCTTTTATTTTGATGAATAGATATTGTTTTTTCAAAATAATGCAACTATGTCAATATATCAAATTCCTATAATTTTTTATATTTTATGCAGAATATTCATGAATTAATAATCTATTAAAAATCTCTAAATTTATAATAAATTTTGATTCCACTTTTCAAATTATTATATACATTAATTTTTCTTTATATCATAGTATTCTTTTTTTTTTTTTTTTTAATCCACAATCATGTAAAAATGGCTTTTTTTTTTTAATATACTGGAAAAAATATCAAAATAATACACAGCCCTTTTCAAATAATATTTAACC